CTGGTATGACACTCTTTATGTAATTATGCTGCTAGTGTTATACAATCATAAATTATTATGTTTCCAAAGTAACATATCAGGAGTAATTCTGCTGAAATCAGTGACATAAGGAGTAAACGAATCAATTCACCATACCCACTTGTCTCTGGATAGAGAATTACTGTTTTTTTTTTCTAGGAAAAACATTAGAAAGAAAGAAAAGATGAGCATAAATTCAGTAGTAATAACCCAAAATTACTATAATACCATTATCTGCTTATGTTTAAAGCAAGCTGTTTTGAAAAGAGAAAGGAAGTCTGGAGAAATTCATCAACTTTGTTGACTTACTCCAAATGTTCAGAAATTACCAGCTGTTTACGTTTGCTAGTATATAGCTACAGCAAGTATGTCCAGCATCAGCAGGGCTTTGGCGCCCTCTTATGTTTCATACAAGCAACTTCAGTGATTGCAAACACTTCTTGGTGATAGATCACTTGAGGAGGCTTGTCAGGTTACAAATTGTTAAGAAAGTAAGTGTCAATTAAGATAACTAACTGCTTAATGCCTCAGAGAGGTTAATAACCACTTTAAGGCAGCAAACTTACTAACAGCAGTGAGCAGACCCACAGACATCCCGGTGCACCTTCCTCCTTATTGAGACAGCTCAGCCTCACTAAACTGATCCTACACGGCACAAACCTCTTTCAGGCTCATTTTGTTTTGGCCAGACAGATATTGTCAATCAATTGCTGACTACAGTAACAACAAAAAAGGCTGGTTAGCATCACACAAAAATCAAGATGAACTGTATTAATAGACCTGGTTTTACTTCCCAGGAATACCAGTTAACAGTCTAGGTACTTACCCAAAGAAATGAGTCAATTAATTAAAAGAAAAAAAAAAGTCTGCAAAACTGGAGATTTCAAAAACCAGAATATTCCTATTTCCTTTACTTGGATACTCCAGGCATTACTTCTCCACTTTTAAAAGTTGGCACCTATTAAGTAAAAGTAGATTATTGAGGGATTCTTTCTTGTCTAGTTAACATTATAGTACGTTATTTTTCTTCTCGTGCAAGTATTTCTAACCTGTGAAGAAGTACCTTCTTGATCTTCTAAAATGTAAACAGATTACTTGGTAAATCTTTTCTTGAAATAAAACCTGATTCTATATTAAGAAGTGTTTTGTTCATTTGTTTTTAATTTCCCTATTGGTGCCAAAAGGGTATATAGTTTACAGTTTAAAAATTTTTTTAATACTGAGCACTTGAGTAACTCATCATCCCAATTATTAATTACTCAGAGGAAAACATCTGGGAGATATTTATGTGCCTTTTTTGATACATAAATTAGAATGCATAAGAGATGGGCCACAGAAGTAGTGATGTAGAAAGAGCACACGGGAATTTTAGATTACATTTGAATATTGGTATAAAAAGTTATTATTTATTTAGTATTTATTAACAGCTTATTAAAGTGCTGAGGACCCCATATTTAGAAAAGTAATCCACTGCAATGAAAGGTATTCATATTAGTACAGAAATATAGCACCCAAGCCTTTCAAAATGGGAAAGTCTCAATTTATTTTATCAAATTATCCTACTATGCAATTTTTCAGAAATCAGTTTGAAGATGATACATAAGAAAACCTTCAGAGTATTAGCAAGTTAGTGCACAAATCAATAATTTTCTCAGCTTACACAGAGGTAAAAAGGTGTCTAAGAAAAGACTCATACTAGTTAATAACGAGCGTCCCTTCTTATCACAGGTACCCAAATGCCTAGAGGCAAGGCACATTTTGGCACCACGGCCTACTTCAGTAAAGCCGACAAAACTGCAGGAACGCTCCTCATTTCCAGAGGCCCATGTGAAAACGGAGCTTAGAGCAGATCCATGCAGCAAACGGAACCATGTAGAAATAACTTATCAACATCCAAAAGTGCACTACTCCTTCACTGAACACAGAAGCATGTTCCCAGCTTCAAGTCCAGTTTCAAATGGGTGTGACAAACGAAAAATAAATAAGGAGAGCATGTGGTGAGGAAGAATGGATGTGCCTGGACCCCTTACACCACCAAGATTTGAGTGTATGATATTACAGAAATATTTTTATAAAGAAATCCACCTTGTGTGAGTGTGCTATATTGCACAGAGCAGAGATCCCTGAGCTAGTGGAGACCTAGGTAGTAAATCCACACAACACACTGCAAAGTCATGTGAACCTATCTGTCTAGGTCCCATCTAGGAAGTACTGCTACTTTTTCAGCTAACAAATATTGCTTACTAGCTCCCATTCAAGACCATGTGAGTGATGGACCATTATTTGCTAGTGTATAACCCTGATGTTCTGGTTCTAAGGCTTGCACGAGGGCAGCCAGGTAAGATCTGCTTTTGTTACTTGTGGATGTAGCCAACAACAAAGCATTTGTGTTTAGTGTATTAATCTCAAGTAGTACTGAAATCAGGCATCAGGCTCCACAGCTGAGTCACTTTCTGCAGAACAAATGAATTTGACTTTTCTGGACAGTTTTCCCATCTGCTGATCCAGAAACTTGTGATTGTAGGTTGAAATCTGCCCAATTAAGATGCATTTGCTTTTGATAACATTCACTGAATTGGGTATTTCCCATCAGAATAATTCCATTTCCCATATTCCCTTTCTAAGGAAGTTGAAAAAATATTGCCTCTCTTAGCAGATAATTAACAATAAAATAGTTCACACAGTAGAATAAGTTTGTGGAAACAGCAAAAATCCCCTCAGATGTTTTGAAGAGCTAGAAGATAAATACAGCATGTAGGTATACAGCTTTACAGCTTTAGAAGTAATCAGTTATTCACTGTCTCATTCTGCATCAAAACAGATGGACTGCTGTTAACTGACAGAGCTTCAATAAAACTGGGGGAAAATCATGTGTCTCCCAGTCCCTAATGCTGATTAAGACTTCCCTAGCAAATTTGTTTATCTTGAGGAACTGAGTTGAACTTCAGTATGTTCCACTATGAAATCCTTTGCAACAGAAAACTCATGCTGATATAAATCAAATCAGGTTAAGAATTGATTTAGTTAAGAATCAGTACTTGGCTGCTGTGCACATACTCTTAATTCAGTTTGAAGTGCCCGATACCAATTTAACCAAGCTTTATGACTTTAGCTAGAGCTGAAAACTTAGATTTCAATGCTTATGTCATTAACCACCTAAAGGCAAATGCTGGTATCAGCACTGACACCAGTATCCAGCAGCATCATAATGCATCCCTATATATAGTGTTGGGCAATATCAGCACAATGATTCAAAAAAAACAACCAAAGAAACATTAAAATGAGGAGTTCGCCTCCCAGGACATGATTTACACTTCTTTCAGACAGTTCTGGCCTTCATTTAACAACACACAGAGTCTAAGTAGAGGAGTCCCAAGTTAACATTTAAGAACAGCGGCTGCGTTTGTGAAGTTTTATATAATGAAATTAAGATACTTATCGGAGTCATTTTACAATTGCCAGCAACAAAAGCATAAGCTACCATAGCATTACTAAAATGAGCAAAGGCTCAAGACCAGGTGCTTCTCCAGGACTGCAGAACAGCTAGGACAGATTCTTAGCTCCACAGTTCTGGGAGCACAGTGTTCTGTGCTTGTCTAAGGAAACAAAAGCTACAGAAAACTCAAGAAAATGTGGTTTTAGGTCTTATACGTCACACAGCTTGTGGCATGGCAGTTGTGATAAACCATCAGCTTAAGGGTATGTATTTTTGTACTTGCTGGGCTCCAATCTCTGCAACGTAGACTGCTCCAGTCTTCATGTCTACATCCACTAGGTGTGGTTTGGTTTCATCTGCCAGCTGGACTGTGTTGACCATAACACAGTCCCCAATAGTGCCAACCGGTGGTGCCGCCAAGACTGCTAACCGGTTGATATTCAGCTGAGCTACAATCAGGTATTTGTAATTGGCAGTAAATCTGTGAAAGACAAATATCTTTTTGAATTAGGAACTTCATATGACATCTCATTTTAAACACAACTACGCACTTTTAAACAAATAAAACCTCCTCAACTGCCAAGTTTTTGAAGGCTACAACAGACTAAATGTAGCGAAACATTGAGAATTAACTTGTAAGCTTTGCTCTACATTTTGCTGCTCCTTGAGACAGATTATGCTACAGAAAACTCACTCAAGACAATCTCTATTCCTGTAAAACCTGCAACAGTAAGGTCAACAACACACAATGACTTTAAAATGAAGGTCCCAATGCTGCACTCAGATTCACGGAGCTTGTTATAAAGCCAAGATTTCCCTGTCAAGATACAACTGTGCAGATCTTTGCATAAGATTAGGGCCCAGCACCCTATTAGTTAAACTGGTTAACACCCTGTCATCAGACATTAAAAATCAACGTTTTAATTCACCAGTAAGAGTACAATTTATTTACACAATTGCAGGCTTTTAGAAGAACTGTTCAACAATACCTGACAGAATAGGGTCCATCTTCTGAAAAACAGCTGCTCCAAGACCCAAGCCACTCCCCTGTGACTTTATCAAAAACTTGGATTCTTTTATTGTCTCTGTCTGCCACCCATACCTGTTAAGAACAAAAATCATGGCTATTCACAAATAGAAAAAAATAAGACACATTGTTTTCTTACATGAGCAAAGTATCCTGTAGTAAAAAAGACGTACACCTTAGAAGAATGTCGCTCCACATTCAAAAATTATAAATAGGTATGACTGCCAGATATAAAACAAAACCGCTACATAGTTACAATACACAAATAATTTTATACTACCTAGAGAAATCAGTGCCTTCTCCTCATTTTTGTGGCTATGGTATGGATGTATTTAGTAGGATTTCTACCCAGCCCCTGCAGTGAGGACATATTCCCTTCTATTTAATTCTAAAGATACTGGTCTGTCACGTGCTAACGATTTGTTTTTCAACCGTAGTCTCATTTCATGATCCAGGTCTACAATGACTGCATCTGCAAACACTCCAATGTGTATATATTGAGGAACTATAAATATTGAGCAACTTAAACACTGAGAGCATTTTCAGCATGTTTTCTTTAATCCGTTTTGTGGACCTTGTCTCTATCACACCCTGTGCTAACTGGGTTCACAGACACTGCAAGCCAGTAGTACCACTAGACAGTTCCACTGAAGGCACCTTTTGTACTACAATCATTGAAATTTTAGCTGTGGACAACCTGTCAGTCTGATAAGTAAACTTCATTACTTTTCTAGGCTGTCACCCAGACAGGAACAGTAAACAAGCTGACCTGAGATCTTTCATCAATATTTTAAAATGAAACCCTAATACAGCATTCTCTTACATTTCTTAGGAATTAATGATTATTTTCAACTTAGGCTGATGATCAACACTATGCTGGCAATAAAATCACAGCTCATTGCAACTGCTGTCTTTGAATGTATACACTCACAGATACCCTTCAACACAAAGTGATCATGTTCCTCCCATCCCCATGTCTCCCCAGAGGAGTCATATTTATAGATGCTTCTTATTCTGGTTCAGACAGCAGGAGCAGAATTAGCTTAAATCAGTGATTTAACATGTTTTAGTCAAGCAATCTTATTTTCCCTGAAACAGTTTAAGGTGCAATGACATAATTACACTATAAGAGCAGCAGAGCAAAAGCCAGACTATGATTAACACCTGGCAGAAGCAGAGTCTTGAATGCCTTGAGCTGCATGTAGAAAAGGACTGGTGTTCACAACCCAGATAGAGCCTTACTGTCATCTTAAGCTTATTCAGAATTTCCCAATATGAAATTGAATTCCCCTGAAGAAACATTAAGTGCTTGGGTAGATATTTATTATAGAACATAATTCTCCTGTATTGTCACAATGGCAACCCATTAGAAATTGCAGGAGGAGCAGGTCAGAACCCTTGTGTTAACTCTGGAGCCAGCTACTACAGCAGGATCTGCAGTATGGAACTTCAGCTCATGACCACTATCGCACTGAAAACCATAACCCACATAAAATGACTCAGATCACAACAGTTAAATTAAAAAAGAAATACAATATGTTTTGTTTAAATACATGTAAACAAGTCTGTCAGAAGACTAAAAAAAAAAATCTCCCTTCATTCTTTACCCGTCCAACAGAATCCAACGTTACACTGTGAGGAATCTTGAACTGACCAATGCCGGTCCCATTTGTTCCAGCCAGCCACATCTCTTGGTAATCTAAACAGCAAGCACCATGAAAAATAGAAATAAAAACATCACAGTAAGGAAACAACACATAAAATACCTTTAAGTCATTCCCTTCCAAAGTTATTTCAGATAATTTTTAAAACATGGGATTTTTAAACCTAGGCCTTTTAAACACAGTACTACTGATACATAAGCCTAAGAAACACTAGCATTACTACAGGAACTACTGGATTGTTATTAGTAATTTCAGACTATGGTTACAGAAATGCAGCCACTAGTACACAAAACCATAGTCCAAGGCTCTGTAAAGCACCGTATTAAGAAAAGAAAAAATATATATACAGAAACAGTTGGCTGGTTATGATATTAATTTGTTTACTAAATTGATTTTTTGTATTTGTTACTAGGCAGTTTTAACAATTTACTATTTTGTGAACTATGTATTAGCAAACTGACTGTTTTAAGATAGCGCAAAGGAGAAACAGTAGCTCCTCCACTTTTCCCCAAAAGACGACAGGTGCAGGCTCCTCGCTCACAGCCCTAGCCAACACTGACCATCTAACTAGGGAATATGAGCAAGCAAGTTAGAATCATGGAATAATTTAAGTATAAAAGATCTCCAGACACCATTGTGTGCAACCTGCTTTTGAAAGCAGGACTAACCTCAGTAACAAATCCAGCTTTGAAGTTACATCAGATTGTTTATAACTCATCAAGTTTTGAGCATCTCCAGGAGTGGAGGCTGCGCATCCTCTCTGGGCAAACTATTCACTGTCTGATCACCCTCACTGTGAATCTTTCCCTCCAAAAATCAAACTGGAATTCCCCCCTCTTGCATCTTTTGCTCAGCATTTCTTTTTCATCACTGTGCATCTCCAAGAAATGTGTGGCTCTGTCTTCTCTATACCCTCCCATTACTGACTTGAAGACAGTGATAATGATCCTGCTTAGCCTTCTCTCTTGAAGGCTGAACAAACTCATTCTCTCAGCCTCTTGTCATAAACAATTAGGAGACTTCTGAAGTGACAAGCAGTAAAACAGGACCTGATTCAACAAAGTCTTCAAACTAATGTTACATGACAGCTCTGCCCAGTCCTTGCTTTGAAGTATTTTCAAGCTGTTTTATTTAAAATTCAATTTTCAATGGTCAACTACCACCAAAGTTCATTTTTCCATACCATTGGTTAGTTTGAGCAATCTGTTATTCATTCCTCCATCTCCATCCACAACGTAGATATCTCCACTTTCCTCTACAAAGATGTCTGCTGGTTGATCAAACTGTAGGGGAATCAAACTTGAACCAGCATTACCTGGTGTGCCCAAGACCTGCATAAGTTTACCGAAAGGGCTATACTGTTTCACAGTGTGCCCATACTTCCCTGAATTAAGAAAAAAAGTGAAAAAACACCTTAAAACAAAATCCGAGTATCACAACTGATTACAAAGATAAAAAAGAAAATCCCCAGATACTCAAGCGATATTAATAAATCTAACAGATGAAATCTTACAGTGAGAATATGACTGAGGGTTAGTAAATCCATAAGCTACAACAACAGTCATCCATTGTTTCAGGGCCACCAAACCTAGGCCAGAAGAGAAGTCTGGGCAGAAGATAAGTCTAGCCACATTATGTTTTTTGTTTCCCCCCCCCTACTTCTCCTGAGGTAAAAAAACAAAAAAAAAGAAAAAACAAAACAACAAAAACTTGTTTAGTAAGTTCAAAAGCTATAAGCAGACACAAGCACAACTCATGAACCTTCAGGTTATTTTGTGCAGCACCTGAGAAGTTTGTTCATGGCAAGAAAAGCACAAATCCATCTCAGACTTGTTTGAGAGACCTAAATAAGTGAGTTGTTTGAAGTAGTATCTGCAATATTAGCATTTTCTTCCCCACCTAATACTTCTCATATCACCACCACGCATACCTGTTCCAACATCTGTGATCCATACTGAACTATCTGTTGCAGTGTTCAGTACAAAGATACCATGAGGCATTTCAACTGTATCATTCCAGGAGTGAAGAAAATAGCCTTCCTCTGAAAATACAAGTACCTTCGGTACATTATCTCCTCTCTGAAAAGGCAAATAAAAGTCTCTTAAGAAAACATACTAGGCAAGTCTTTTTGAAAATTCCTCTTTGTAAGGTTTCTGCAATGTTTCATGAATCATGAGAATCTCCTGGGACTGTCTGCTACATCTCATTTTTTCCAGCTAAAAGAGAGGGAAGGGTCTCTGTTTAGCATGCAAAACCTTCCACTCGTTCTAGACTTTCAACTTAAATCATGTAGAGACCAAGGTATCCTGGTCATCATTTTCAGTCATGTTTTTATGATCTTGCTGAAAAATATGCCAAGCATAACACAGGCATGCAAAACTGTAACTGTACTTATTAGCTGCATGGCACTCAAGTACTCATCCTGTATTATAATTAAATCTCACCACTTTTCACGGACAGAATGTCTTATCTGTGACCTAGAGACACCAATGCATGGAACTCGGTAAGGCAAATAATTGAACTGCAATTACTGTCTGAAAGGGCTGCATGGTTTTGATTTCATAGGACGAAGTTTGAAAGAGTGGACAGGGACAAGTCAGAAACAGTTTACCTCACAAAGAAGAGGCTACTGTAACTCACTTAAGTTGGATCATGCACTGATATCACAGAAATAATGTAATGCTTTTAAAAGCACAAGCAATTACAGTCTCAGATCTGCTTTAAAATGGATATAGCAGAGATAGCTATACTTACATTTTAATTTTAGTACATTTTTCAAATAGATACACACACACATATATGTATCTATCTATATATATCTTAATCTAAACCAGACACTTTAAAGGCAAAAATACACTAGGTTAAGACAGAAAGAAACATAGTATTCTCACTCACTTGCCCCACATAGACCAAACCATGAAGAGAGTCAACAGCAACACAAAATGTTTGGCCAGTGAAGTATTCTGGAATTTTAGGCCAGCCTATGTCCAGCTTGTACATCTGCTTCTGTTCATGTTCCTTCCAAGGAGATGAGTAATCAAATGCTTTTAAAAGCTGAAAATACAAAATAAATATCCATTAGTAGATAAGTTCCATGACGGTGGGATCAGAAGAACCAACAGTAGAAATTAACTTGTGTATTGAGGCATCGTAAAATGATTTATTCAATTTAAATTAAGACAACAGATAAACAGAAATAGGCTTGTAGCTAGGGTTTTGGACTGCAAATGGGAAAATTAGAACAAACTGGAAATTAGCTAATGAAGCCCTTTGGACTGAGTAGCTCTAGAAATAGAGGGTAAAAAAACCACATCCTAAAATTTATTACATCAGAGTTGCTACCACTATCTGTAAACCACACCCCAAAATGAGGAAAAGAGCAGAAAAGGTCCCAAGTACAACAGAATCAATAACCACTTCAGGAAGATATGGAAATTAAAAAAGGAAAAATCAGAATAAAGGCAAAATACAGGTCAAGAAAGAGAACTACATCTTAGAAATGGGGAAGTGTAAGATACCAGGAACTGATGTCAATGTATTCATTTTAAAGGACAACGGAAAGAAATAGTCTTCCACTTTTTTTTTTCCGGCGGAAGAATGGAAGCTAAACACAGCTGTGCTGCTGCCAGCTAAGGACTGGAAAGGAAAGATGAGGCTGCAACTAAGTAGTAACAAGTAGCGCCTCTGAAGGACCGGGGCCATTTAACATTTCTGTTAACCGCCTTGCCAGAAAGTGGGGGGTTGATGACATAGAACTACAAGCAACTTAAAACAGCCCAGACTGTTACCAAGCAAAACGAAAATGAATTAAGCAAGGAAAAAATCCGACAGTTCAGAAGCGCAGCCTTGCGCTCCGGCGGGTCCCCCACGCACATCGGGGACAGGTGGGGCCCGAGTCCATCACCGCCACCCCCTGGCACCCTCCTTCTGGTCAGCCACCACCCT